GTTTTGTAGCAAAGGGTTCAACAAATTAATGCTATTTACTGTTCATTGCCAGCCTGAAATTATTTAGTGAGTTATGAGTGTTGCAGGAAAATGGAAACCAATGAATTCTCATTACAATGGCAGTATACAGAAAGTCAAGGTACTCAAAAAGTCAAATTGCTTTCTGATAAAAGAACTACATTAGTTAGAAAGCAACTTGCAGAGATTATATCAGATCTTGGAGGCATAATGGTTGGATTCTTTTGGCCTGCCCACATCCTTGATGTATCATTTTGAAAGTCAGTTTTTATCTTTCTTACTGTGTGAATGCTGAGACCCAGCGACAGCTTGACTATGCCAATGATGATGTAGTATTTGCTGCAGGGACTGTAATCAGTTAGTGGTCATAACATAGGAACTAATGCCAGACAGTCTTCTTGCATACTGGGAAGGACAGATTGAATCTCCACTTGGAGAGATAAGGTTTGATCAGGGATAGTCAGCAAGGCTTTGTCAGAGGGAGGTCATGACCAACAAATTCGACTGAATTTTTCAAGAAATTGACCAGGAGTGTAGAGGAAGGTACTGCAGTTAATGTGGTTTATATGGATTTTAACAAAGCCTTTGACAAGGTCCCAAGTGGGATGCTGGCGAAGAAGATAAAAGCTCATGGGATCCAGGGTAACCTGGCAGGGTGGATCCAAAATTAAGCTTAGTGAGAGGAGATAGAGCATAGTGGGAGAAGGCTATTTGTATGACTGGAGGCCAGTGTCTAGTGGCCTACCACAGAGGTCAGTTCTGGGTCCCTTACTGTTCATGATATATATAAACAATATGGATGAGGATGTGGGAAAATGATAAGTAAATTTGCAGATGGCATAAAGACTGGCCAGGTGGTTGACAATGAGGAAGAAGGTCTTAAGTTACAGAAGGATACAGACAGATTGGTCAGATGGACAGGCGAGCGGGCAGATGGAATTTAACCCTAAAAGGTGTGAGATAAAGCACTTTTGAAGAAGTAACAAGACAAGGGACTACTCAATAAATGGCAGGACACTGGGAAGCTCAGAGGAGCAGAGGGATCTTGAGGTGCTTGTTAATAGGGTAGCTAAGAAGGCATACAGACCACTTAGCTTTATCAGTCAAAGCATAGATTATAAAGAGGAAGGTTATGTTGGAGCTGTAAAGGACTTTGGTTAGGCCACAGCTGGAGTCCTTTGTGCACAGTGCATAGTTCCGGTTACCGCATTATGAGAAGAAAGTGATTGCACTGGAGGGGTGCAGAGGAGAAGATTCACCAGGATGTTGCCTGGGATGGAGCAGTTTAGCTGTGAAGAGAAGTTGGGCGGGTTGTTTTCTTTAGAGCAGGGAAGGCTGAGGGTGCACCTGATTGAGGTTTATGAGATTATAAGGAGTGTGGACAGGGTGGATGGAAAGCAGCTGTTGAAGAGTCAATAATGGGGGGATACAACTTTAAGACGAAAAGCAGGAGGTTTAAAGGGAATTTGAGGAAAAGGAAATTCTCCCAGAGGGTGGTGGGAATGTGACAGACACTGTCTGGGAGAGTAGTTGAGGTGGGAAATCTCCCAATCTTTAAAAAGTACTTTTATGAGCACTTGAAATGCCATAACATTCAAGGATATGGGCCAAATAGTGGAAAGTGGGTCTAGTGTAGATTACGATAGTTTTTTGTCAGTGCAGACTCAATGGGCCAAGGGACCTCTTCTGTACCGAATGATTCTATAGTATTCCATGAACCATCTTCAGCTTCATTTTTCTGTAAGCTTCGGTTCTCATTCTTAACCGAAATTGATTATCCCTTTTAATTTGCCTGTATATCATCAGAACATACGAGAAGGGGAAATTGATTAACATCGCTATAAATCTTGTTCCATTTTCTTGTATAATCATGGAACGATACTGCATAGCAGTTGGGTTGCTCTGCCCATTGTGACTATGCTATCTGTTTGGTAGCACTATCCAATTAATTCCATTCCTCTACTCTCACCTCTTAGTCCTCTAACTGATTTCCTTTCCATTTCTACCTCCAACACCAGGGGCTGTTAACTTAATAAGTTGCCTACCATGTGGCACCATATCACACACCTTCTGGAAACCTACATATATTACATCCACTGCTTACCCGTTATCTATCTTGCTTATTACTTCTTCAAAGAATTCTAACAAATTTGTCAGATTTGATATCCCTTCTGTTAAGCCTTCCTGGATCTCCTTGTCATAGAATCCCCACAGTGTGGAAACAGGCTATTTGGCCCAACAAGTCCACACAGATGTTCTGAAGAGCATCCCACCCAGACCCATCCCCCTACTCTATCCCTGCATTTCCCACGGCTAATCCACCTAATCTACACATCCATAGACACCATGGACAATTTTAGCCTGGCCAATCCACCTAAATTGCATATCTTTGGACTGAGGGAGGAAATCAGAGCACCTGGTGGAAACCCACACAGACATGGGGGGAATGTGCCAACTCCACACAGACAGTCATCCGAGGATGGAATCGAATCCAGGTCTCCAGTGCTGTGAGGCAGCAGTGCTAACCACTGAGCCACTGTATACAGCTCTACTGTGAGTTTAACCTGAGAGTCACCACACCTCAGGTGAGGGGTAAGGTTGAGAAGTCAGGACCTTCATGGTGACCTAAGCTGGTGTGAGGAAATGCCTTGAGGTGTTGTATCTCAGGCTGTCGAGGAGTTATCCGGGGCCCTGGCAGTAATTTCCAAATCTTCTCTGGCTACAGGTGAGGTGCTAGAGGACTGTTAATATTGTCCCATCATTAAAATCTGGAAAAAGGGATAGACCAGAAATTATGGGCCAGTCAGTATAATGTTGGTAGGGAGAAAGTTATTAGAATTCTGACAGTCAGGATATATCTGCTCTTGGAGAGACACGGACTAGTTGGGTAGTCAGCATAGATTTGTTAAAGGTATATCATGTTTGACAACTTTGAATTTTTTGAGGAGGTAACGAGGGGTGTTAATAAGGGGAATGTATTTGATGTGGTCTCACGAACTTTAGAAGGGCATTAAGAGCCTATAGGATCCAAGGCAAAGTGCTTGCTGCACCTACTCCTAGCTATTAGTGACTCATAAACAAGGGCAGCCAGATCCCCTTAGAAACCTACACTTATTAACATCTCACCACTTAAGAAATATTCTGCGTTTCTGATGCTTTTTTTTCTACCAAATTGAATAACTTCAGACTGAAGGTGTGCCCATCTACCATGTTGTAGCCTGTTCACTTGTCCAGCCCTCTTGAAGCCTCCTAACAGCTTCCTCACAACTTATATTCCTACCCAGGCTGGTGTCATCATAAAATGAGTGAATACCCACATTCAGATTGTTTGTAGAGATTGTAAACAACAGTGGACCTTACACAGATCCTTGCAGTACCTCATCAGTAATAGTCTACCATCCTGGGAATGACTCGTTTATTCTGACTGCCTGCTTTCAGTCTGTTCAATAATTCTTGATCGTGGAGCTGCAACGATGTGAACAACTGCTTCCTGGAATAGTGCCATGGAATCTGCCATGTCAGACCTGAGAGGGCAGACAGGGCTTTGGCTTGACCTTATGTGAAAGATTGAGGGCAATAAGTGGTGGTGCCCGATGACAGGGGACTGCTGTGCGTGACAATGAGATCAAGAAAACTTTACATTAATGGTCAACACAGATGAAAAGTGGGGATTTATTGGAGCTTGAGGATGTTGTCATAAAGAATTACATTGCTGTTTTAACAGAGACGTCAACCCTATAAACGTAAATACATCTCTGTCTGTTCTGAAATGTTGATGATATGATGCTATAAAAACATACTTGATATTTCTACAGGATTAATTGATTGGCCTACAAAGAATTACATAAATATCATAAATAAATTTACTTACGTAAATAACTTACACGGGCACAATGGGACAAATGGCTTCCTACCATCCACTGTTTTTCTGTAATACTATGGTCATCTGCTGCTGATACCCAAGCAATGATTTTTGGACTATTAAACGTATAGCAATGCATTTATGTGGTTGAGTAGAGTCAGGAAGTGAGTTACTCATTGCAGTATTCCTAGCCACTGACCTGCTCTTGTAACCACTGTATTTATGTGGTGAGTCCTATACAATTTCTGGGCCATTGATAACACTTATGGTGTTGACGGAGTGGTTTTTACACCATTGAACATCAAGAGGCAGTGGTTAGATTGTCTCTTATTGGAGATAGTCATTTGCATGGCACAAAAGTTCCTTGCCACATTTCAGCCCAAGCCTGGAATTTGTCCTGATTCCCCAAAGCCTGTCCAACATCTACAAGACACAAGTCAGGAATGTGAAGGAATACTCCACAATTGCTTGAATGAATGCAGCTCCAGCAACACTCAAACAAATTGACATGGTCCAGAACAAAGCAACCTGCTTTTTTGGCATCACATCCAGAAATATCCATTCCCTCCACCACTAATGCTCAGCAGTAGACATATGTACTATCTGCATGATTCACTGCAGAAATTCATCCTGAGTCAGCACCTTCCAAACCCATGACTATTTCCATCTAGAAGGACAATGGCATGCCACATGGTAGGCTACCTATTAAGTTAACAGCCCCTGGTGTTGGAGGTAGAAATGGAAAGGAAATCAGTTAGAGGACTAAGAGGTGAGATACATGGGAACACCACCACCTGTAAGTTCCCCTCCAAGCCATTCACCATCTTGACATGGAAACATATTGCTGTTCTTTCAGTGTCATTGGGTCAAAATCCTAGAACTCCCTCCCTAACAAGGATTACAGCAGTTCAGAAAAATAGCCCACCATTACCTTCTCAAGAACAACTACAGATGAGCAATAAAATGTTGGGTAAACCAGCGATGTCCATGTCCCACAAATTACCAAGCTAGGAAAAGAAAAGAATAGAGCTAAGCCCTGAGGAGCTTAGAATCATTTTAGACTGGTTTCAAGAGGTTAAAGTTTATGCTTAAAGGGCAGTTTTCAATTGTGTTAAATGTAAAAGTGTGAAGTTCTGTTCATTAGTTTTAAGTAGAAGTTGCCTACTAAAATAGTGCTTGGTTAAAATTGCTTATTTGTTACAGTTAAAATATGAAAATTTATTGGGTCAACCTTTCAACTGTTCGCAGGATGTTTAAATTTGTTTTTGAAAGCTATCGATCTTGACAGGGATCAGTCATAACAAGACCTTTATATCTTTCTGTTGCCCTAGATTCCGCAAAATACAGCATCAGCTGAACCTGGAAGCGAAGGCCGGCAGTGTTAATTATCAGAATATCAGTTTTGTTTGTTCCGCTGAAGGCAAGAAATCCTTGTGTTGTGTTTCAGGTACTGGCCTCTGATAGATAATGGCCTGCGGGAAGCTCTCTTTCTGCGGAGAGTGAGGGTGCGAATGTTGGTCAGCTGCTGGAAGGGAACATACTTACCAATGCTCAACTTCCTGTGGTCCCTGAAAATGTTCTGCAGTGAGCCCATCAACTGCAGCTTCGAAGTGGTGAGTGTAGTCTACTTCCATAGATTTTCTCATTACTCCATCTGTGGTCTTACCTCTAGCTGCCTTGGTTTACCATTCTGGTATCACCTTCTTTCTGACTCTCTAGTTCTCTCTCCACCTCTATCACATGTTGTGAAGCATAGGTCTTTGACTAACCTTTTGGTCATCTGTGCTCATGTCTCCTTCTGTGGATGAGTGTCATATTTTGTTTGGGGTTCTTTTCAATGTTAAGTATATGCTGTAGAAATTCAAGTTATTTCTGCACAGGACTCATCATGCACATGGAATCTCCTCCAGTTGGATTTTCCACCTAGGTGAGGTTATCTGGTCAGGGTATATACAGAAGTTTAGCTCAATAGAGGAGTCACTTTAGCACCAAATGGTTGGTGAAAAGCAAGTGATAGTGAATCAGCCACCTGTTTTGCTCTTTTTGCAATTTAAGGTCAAGGGAAAAGGACGTTAGGTGTGGTATAAAGAGGAGAGGAGAAGAATAACTCACTGAGACCTAAAATGGCACATAATCTAGATGGAGGACCAGGTGCCTGTTTGAACTGGATTGGCTGAAATTTAGAAGGCTAACCAGGTTCTGAGTAGGAAGGAGAGAACTGCCCAAAAGAATGACCAGGGGTAGTGGGAGCAGGAGAGGAGGAAGATCCGGAGAGAGACATCAACAACTAAAAATGTGAAAGAGATGAAAAGACTAGTAGTGGCATCTAAAAGACCAGGAGGGAGAAGGAACCCAAGATTGTCAGGCAGCAGTACCTAAAAGAGTTGTCTAGTCCAGTCTATTCTAGTCCATTCCAGACCAGTCCAGTCCAGTCCAGTCTGTAGTTCCAAAGGGAATTATTGCATTCTGAGAAAAGTCAAAGTGCAATATCGCGGGAAAGCAAGTAGCTGTTTGGTTGGTGAGTTTGTTTCAGTTTTAACTTCTAAAAAACTTGAGAATGTCTGCTGACCCCCCCAAAATGCTCTGAGTGCACATGTGCAAAATGTGCATGCGCAGTATGCCATTCTGCTCATATTTATTGTGCTTATTTTGGTGCTGCCATGTTTTTGTACTGGCAGAGTATTTCACAAAGTGTGCATGTGCAGAAATCTCCACAATGTGAACTTTTTGGAGATGTCATGAGACACAACCTGAAAGCTCAGCTAATTCTAGTAACTGAAAAGTTGTATCAGTAGTAGTTAGGTTTACTCATAATGGTAAAGCTTGTTAGATTGGCTGATGACTATTTATTATTTATTTTAACTTGGGAATTTCAGTTGGGGTAAGTAGAACAATTTATTGAAATAACAAGAATATGAACATTGGCAGGACTAGTGATGGAATAAAATGTAATGAGTAGAATAATTATTTAAACAGTATACAAGATGGTAAGGTAAGTGATGTGTGACAGCTGCAGAATGTGGGAATTCATGGACACCTGTGTAATCCATGGCAAACATTTCTTCAGGAAGAATCTATGGCAAGAGGAAATTTGACCCTGAGTCATTGAGCTGGAGGCCAAGCTGCACACATTGTGATACATCAGAGAGGGGGAAGTGTTACCGCAACACTCTCTTCCAGGAAGCAGTGGCACCCCTTATGATCTGATTTGATCCATGGACAGGAATAGATGACTGTGAGTGTAAGTGAGGCAGGCTTAGAGATTGAGAAGGTAGAAGTGCAGCATCAACCCTTGCAATTATCCAACAGGTTTGAGTTCTTGTAGTCTATATGGATAAAGAGGACATGTAGAGTGGATGAGCAAACTGAGCCTGGGTTTGCAATACATGAAACCATTCAAGGTAGAAGAATTACTATGAATGTAGTGGTGGTGGTAGCAAGGTACGATATAGTCTGGCACAGTTCTCTGTAGCCAAGAGCATGAATCCAGAACACTGTTGCCTGCCCAGTGCTGAGTTCAGAATGTTTTCTATGGGCAGGAGAAGAATATGCAAAGTGATTGAGAAGATCCAGTTGTCATGGCCCATGTAGGTATCAATGACATCAGTAAGATGTTAAAGGTGCATGTAACATGTGTAACATAATCATGGGTGACTTGAATTTACTTATAGACTTGGTAAACCTGAAACAATAATGCTGTGCAGGATGAATTCCTAGAATGTATATGAGACGTTTTCTAGAACAGAATGTTGAGAAACCAACTAGAGAATGGACTATTTTAGATCCCATATTAGATAATGAAAGAGGGCTAATTAATAATTTGAATGTAAATGAGCCTCTAGAGAAGAGTGAGCATAATATAAAAGAATTTTAGATAACATTTGAAAGTAATATAGGTTAATCTAAAACTAGGGCCTTAAATATACAAAGAGGAGATCAGGTGTGAGAAAAAAAAGGTTGTTTTAAATTGAGAAGCTACTTTGTTGCTAGAAAAGCAAAGGTAGCATTTAAAGAATTAATACGTAGTACTTTGCCACATTTCAGATACAGACCTTGGATTGCTTGTGAACTGCTCTCCGTAGATCTTGTTGGTAAATTCAAAGGGCTTTAGGTCCCTAATATTTAGGGTAATGCATTGTTATTAAAAAGAATGTCTTTTCATCCAAACCATTATTAATTGGTTACTTTGAGAAGTTTATAAACACAAAGAAGACTGTTTCAGACAGCAATAAATTAAATTGAAGAACGAATACTAAGTCTTTAAAAATGATATTTTGCCTGGACAGTAAATCAGTACACTCTTTGTGGCAGGTTCTGTAAAATTGGCATCCAGAAATTAATGCAAGACACTAATGCACTTGAGGAATTAACTGATTAATATAAACTACTTTTACAACTGATTTCATCAAGTACTCTTTAATAGAATTTTTACAATGTAATTACTTAATTTTTTTTATATGAAGAGAAATGGAAATCAGTGTTGTGACTGCAGAATTCCAATTGAGGGATTTAGCTGATCTCTTAAGACCTACTGCAAAGCCTTAACTCTCAATTTTGGCACATTCTTGACTTTGTGTCAGAGGTTGTAGGTTACAGTCCCAGGCTTCAACATTTAAGCCAGGCTGAAGTTTCAGTGCTGTGCTACGAGAGTGCTACACTGTCTGAGATGCTGTCTTTCATGAGATGTTAAATTGAAGGAGAATGTAAAAGATCCATAGTGTCTTTGGAAAAAGAACAATGAAGTCTGTTTCAGGCACAGTCCTATGATGCCTCTTTTTTTGCCCTAGCCAATATAATGGCAATGCATATCCAGCATGTAGTGAAGTGTAGAGTCCCTGCCTGCATATAGAATATTTATGGAATATTCTGGTGGTTGGTTGGCTCAGTAGGCTGCAGAGCTGGTTGCTATGCAGAATGATGCCGACAATCTGAAGTTACTACGTGTCTTCTCAACCTCACCCCTCACCTGAGGCGCATGGTGACCCTCAGATTAAACTCATCGCCGATTGTCTCTCCGATGAAAGAGCAGCCCTATAGTTACCTGGGACGATGGTGACCTTACCCTAGGTGCCCACTGAAGATTGAAATGCATGAGGTATTCAAAGCAAAGCTATAAGTTTGGCTAAACAGCATTTACACTGTTTCCCCAAGAGCAGTCTCCATTTAAGGTCGTCTTGGATACAGGAATGTCCTTTTGGTCATTTCACCACAAGGAGTGGTCTATCAAGCAGATACTAGAGGGAAAGAAATTGAAGCGTTATAAATAGTAATGAGGAGGTTAGGATGATAAGGCTTCAAATGAATCAAATGGCTTTATCTTGACTTTCCTCCCAAAATGAATTGTTTTTGCGTTTCCTTCAGCATCATTAAAAACTTTTCATTGATCCTAGAGGAATAAACAGTGTAGCTAAGCTATAGTTTAATCAAATGGGTAATGAATATGTTTTGTGTAAATTATTAGTTGTTCTTCAGTATCACTGCTGTAATGTTGTCAGCGATGGTCATTTAATTGTATTCAGACAGACTTAGCATTTTAACTTTCTTTTCTCCTTCAATGGCCACAAGAAACAGTTTCATATTCAAATTTGTGTTGATGGTCCTTTCAAGGTTTCACCCCTGTGCTTATTATCTTACAGAAATATTTTGGAATCCCTGCTTCTGAAGGGAATGAGAAGGTCTCATTTCCAAGCATCAATCGCAACAAATACATGGTGACTGACAAAGCAGCATATATCAGTAAGTAAACAATCAGTATATTCTCACTTGGTCTGGAGAAGGTCAGATTACCAAATGCCGGGCATGCACCTCAACCAAGCACAGCTACTTGGCAATGACCAAGGAGAGCTCATTGAGAGATTGTGCATTGAAAGAAGATCTGCAGACACTCTGCACTGCAGGCATGGAAGTGCCAGTTGACACCCTCTCTTGCCTCCTTCCAGGCAGTATCCTTCCACCTGCAATATCAGTTGCTGCCCACGAATGTATCAAACAGAATCATAGATTCCTTACAGTGCCGAAGCAGGCCATTCGGCCTATTGAGCCCACACAGACCCTCCGAAGAGCATCCCAGCCAGACCCACTCTATCCCTGTAACCCTGCATTTCCCATGGCTAACCCATCTAGCCTGCACATCCCAGGACACTATGGGCAACTTAGCATGGCCAATCCACCTAACCTGCACATCTTTGGACTGTGGGAGGAAACCGGAGCACCCAGAGGAAACCCACACAGGCACAGGGAGAATATGCAGACTCCATACAGACAGTCGCCCGAGGATTGAAAGAATACTGGCTCCTTCTCCTAAATCTCTACCATCTCAATGCTCTTCCAAACAAAACCTCCCGTTTACCCCTCTGTGCTTGCAACCATTACCAACTAAGAAAGAACATTTAAATTGCTCAGCCCTAAATTCCTTTCCTCGTCAACATAGGTAAGCTTATTATTGCCTACCAAATGCATGTTCAACTCACTTATTCAAATTTCTACACTCAAATGTTTCTATGACTAGTAGGCATGCAGCATTTTCCCTCAATGATCTCTCTGCCACCATTGATTCAAACAACCATATCATCCTCCTCTAACCTCGCTTCCTGATTTTAATTAGAAGCTTTAAAATAGCTGCTGAAGGTCTTTCTAGAATAACAGCAACACTGAATAATTCCTGTTCAGTATATCCAATGGCTAACCATTTCATGGCCAAAAATCAGCTGGGAATAGAAAACATATGTAAAGGCCGAATTTGATCATTGTGTTTAAAGTTAGCAGGTTCTCCTGCAGAGCATCATTTGCACATAACTATACAAACCCAGAATAAAGACTTCTTGGAAGAATGGTTTTGTAAGATGAGGACATTAAATTAATCCAAGAGAGCTATATGCTAACTGCCTGGGGGAGGGGTTGATACTGTGGTAATGGCACCAGTACTTGTCTACCAGATAAATCAGTGTAAAGTTCTGAAGGAAGGGTTTCAGATCCTAGCGTGACAGATAGTGAAATCTGATTTTGGGCCTTGTGTGCAGTAGTGATAGTGTCCCTATTTCTGATCTGGAAGCTCCAGGTTCAAGTCCCACTTACCCGGGAGATCTCTCATTATGTGACTGAACAGGTTGATGAAAAATAACGATGCTATACGCCTTAATGAAGGAGCGCAGCCATACCAGGGCGAAATGCTCCTGATCTGATCCGATCCTGTGGGGATCCAGAAAATTGTACTATCTATTATAAGTATACTGTGTGCATTTAAATGTCTGTATATAAGAAATGAAGTTTGACAGAATGGGAGGGAAAACGCACAGAAAGGAGAAACTATGCATGGAAGTCTTTACGTGGCATTCTGAGTTGACTTTCTGGTTTGATGTAGAAGATAGAAACACTGGTCCAACATTTCTTTCGCTTCTGACAAAAGAGAGGTTGTGTTAAGCACTGCAACCATATGTGTGATTTCAGTTATAATCTAGTATTCGCCTCACAGAAAATGCTGGAGAGAATCTTGCAGGAGTCACATTGGACTTGAAACATTAACTCTGCTGCCAGGTCTAATGAGTTTCTCCAGTGCTCTCTTCTTTTTCGGATTTACAGCCCCCACATTTACTAGACTAATAGTCCATCCCACCTTATCTTATCCCTGTCAAATTGCAGAGGGTGGAATCTGTTGCTGGAAGATCATCCTCACTTCATATATTTGGGGTGGGATTGGATTGAATCCAAGAGTAAGAGATGTGCTGCCAAACAGGACAGCACCAGTTAATCTCTCAGTGAATGTAAGAATTGTAAAACAATAATGAAAATGATAAAAGGTGCACCAAATAATTTTTTCAGTTCTCTTTGATGATTTTAGGTCGATGCAGCAAAGTGACTACTAGGCCAAAAACCTGGAGGTTCATTCATAGAAGCATAGAATATTACAGCACAGAGGAGGCCATTCAACCCACCTTAACTGCACCTGCTCTCTAAAAGAGCTGTTTACTTTCAATCCCTTGTTCTTGTACCATTACGTTTTTTAAAATGCTCTTTTGTTGTTTCAAGGATGATGTGCCCTCTTGTTACTGTCTCACTGGTCACAGGATATTTTTCCCAATGTACTTTTTGAACTCCTTCACTATTTTTGATGCCTCCATCTGACCTTCTTGTGACCTTCACTGTACTAAGCATAATTAAGACTTCTCACTGCTGGGATCATCTTTATGAATCTCTTCCGTATGCTCCCAAACTGATGCCAAACTGGGAGATTTTTCTTTGTTTCTTAAGAGTTGAACCTGCAGAATCTTTCAATAATTACAGAATGCGGATAAGATGGGATAGAGTGGACATGGAGAAGATGTTTCCACTAGTAGGAGAGGCTAGACTCGAGGACACAGCCTCTGAGCGAAGGAACAATCCTTTAAAACTGAGATGAGGAAGAATTTCATCAGCCAGAGGGTGGTTAATCTGTGGAATTTATTGCCACAGAAGGCTGTAGAGGCCAAGTCATTGAATGTCTTTAAGATAGAGATAGATAGGTTCTTGCTTGATAATGGGATGAAAGGTGATGGGGAAAAGGAGAATGAGGTTGAGCCTTATATCAGCCATGATCGAATGGCAGAGCAGACTCACTGGACCAAATAGCCTAATTGTGCAATATGTCTTATGGTCTAACTCTGTAGCTGGGACCCACTATGAATGGATTTTATCATTGGAGCCTATTTAATTTTGAAAGATCATCAAACAGCGATCACCACTGTCATTTATCTTGCATCAGTAATCTTTCTTATTTCAATACTTAAACAGTAGACCTATCAAAAACTGCATCTGTAAGCCTGCCAGTAAGAGAAGGTTGCATAGATTTAACAGCATCCTGTTTTACCTGTTAATAATTGTTTGAATCATCCTCCTCTAATGTCCCTCTTCTGGTCATTTTCTAATATAGCTGCTGCAGCTCTTGAAACAGCTACTGCAGGACTTTTAAAGTCCTGCACAGTGTAAGCAAAGCCCGCTTTATGAATCGGAATGATTGGAAATAAAAAGTGCTTTGAAATTCTGCATTTTGACCTTCATTTAGTGGTCATCAGGATTACTGTGTAGTGGGAGGAAGATTTCAGGAAAGAAAGAACAATCCTCATGTTGTGGAAACTAGTTGTTAGTGAATCAACAGCTGCATGTCTTCCTTAATTTTTATTTCCATTTACTTCACATGTTGAACACTGTCATACAACATTAAAATTAACCCCCATGGCCTATTAACCTTGGGAAGGTCAAATCGTTATTAATTATCCAGATAAAAGTCTGACTGTAACTGACTTTATATTGGTGTTGCTCAAACCAAGGTTTGTGCCATCCCTTTCATTTGGGTGAATCAGATAGAAACAGATATAGCAACTAGGAGCAAGGCTCTGTCTGCTCTCTCAGGAAGGTATAAAAAAAAACTCCCAATGCCCTACTTCAAAGAAGAGGAAGGGAATTAGATCCAGATCAATATTTATCCTTCACATGATCTTTTTTAAAAAAATTGTCAGGTCATTATCACATTGCTGCCTGCGGGACAAACTGTGCATAAATTCACGGCTGTGTTTCCATTACAACAAAGCCCAAGCTTCAAAAGTGCCTCATTTAGCTGTAAAGCATCTTTGGACGTCTCCAGTGTGTGAAAGGTGTGATATACGCAAGTTCCTTTTCTTTCCGGTCCCATTATATAAGCCAATGTATAACATTCATTCAAGTGTTATCTCACCTCTGCAGTGTGGAGCCTGCCTCCATCAAACTGGGAGACCTGAATGGAAACTCAACAGTTATGAGAGATGTGTCTCTGTAAATGAGAACGACTCCCAATCAGATTTGAAAAGTGGTTGTTCTTTTCATAGCATGATTACCTTTTCCTTCCAACTCCTTATGCTGTGCCTGTTGTTTGTGCTGGACCATTATGGCAACAGACTGGAACAAATTTTCATCTTCACTGACCTGGGCTGTATTGAAGCAAATAAACAAAAGAACTGTGGACGCTGGAAATCAGAAATGAAAACGGAAATTGCTGGAAAAACTCAGCGGGTCTGGCAGCATATGTGGAGAGAAAGCAGAGTTAGTGTTTTAGGCCCGGTGGCCATTCTTCAGAACCTTTGTCATTCAACATTAACTCTGACTTCTGTCCACAGATGCTGCTAGACCCGCTGAGTTTTTCCAGCAATTTCTGTTTTTGTGTATTGAGGTGAAGCCTTTCCTATAAACTGTCTGATGTTAATTGGAATGATCAATATCGGATCCTTATCCAGATGGTGAAGATGAAATTTTACCCTGGAGCATTTTTGTCTCAACTATATTATTCTGGATGCCAGAAACATGTATGCTTTTAAGTTCCCAGGTCAGTAATCTGTCTTCCATTCTTATTATGCCTTTGGGGTGGATTATATATTCTGTTTAAATATTCGAGGTGGTATGAATAAAAGCGATGGATTCGAGCAAACTTGTCACACTGTTTTGCACTGATAGAATGTTGATCCAGTGCCTTGTGAGAGTCCAATTGGAACTGGTTCTATACTTTAAATAAATATTACTTGCTTCCAGCAACCTGCCAGATGGCTCCTGGAGCCCTTGTAATCACATTGCAAGATTTCCTGGCAAAAGCAATGATGGCATTTGTGTAAAACAAAGTCCTGCTTACCAGGGAAGACCTTTTAAAGTCTCATTGAACAATCTCGGATATCATCCAGCCATTAAAGGATTTAACTGACTAATCGGAACCAAATTGCAATAGCTGAAATAGTTAC